CACCATATTTCACATTTTTCTAAAAAATTTTCCTCCTTGGAAGAACAGAGCAGGGCACATCGTTGTTGAGGAATCCCCAATAGGGGGGTCGTATTTGGTCGCCAGGAGGGGGTCTGAGAAAAATTTATTTTGATAGTTGATTTTTCTCGCTTCGGGATGGGTCGTATAGAGTCGACTAAAATCCCCAACCAATGATGTGCCCTGAGAACGAGGAACTGAAACACCGCCGTTCTGCAAGTACGGATATACACGTAACCCAGTGTTTTGCTCCCTCCTAACCCTAGCATACAGCAAAAAGCAAAAAGTGGTAAAATGCTTTTCAGCAGGAGGATGCACGCCTATGAAACGGAAAAATCGCAAATGTGTGAAACCCTTCTCGCGGCTCTCTGTGCGCTTCCCGATGTCAGCTAGACGGGAGCAATAACAAAGGACAGCTCAGACATTCAGAGGCCCCTAAACTTACCTCTCTAAAGCTTTTGTCGCGAGTGACGGAATAGGTAGGTATTCCAAACTTGTACACTGGACACTAGTCTCGATTTGTTTATCTTTAGAATCCGTCCCACCGACATGCTGGAATTCCAGGGCGCTTGACGTTCAACTTGGGCAGGGGGGGGGGGCGGGTGTCGACCCATTAAAATAATCATGGGCTTTAGCGACGTTCTGTTCTTATTTAAGGTTTTGATGTCTTCAAAAAAATGGCTTTCAGCGTTCTGTGAGAACTCTTGCACGGAAAGAATTCGCAGTTTAATGCGAATCTGCGCAGTTCGCTTCGCGGCTACTGCGTCTTGGTTGGGATATTTTCACAGGCTTCCTTGATTCGTTACCTCGCCACTCTGATGTTAAACCTTTCAATGATGTGAACTTTCGCCCCTGATGCACTCCATGGTGACAAAGCGCTGCCTCTTTCGAGTGACGCCCACGACCGCTTCCACGTCCCCCCACCCTGGTCATACCAAAATTCCCTGCATACTACTTTTTAGTACTCCTTCTTTAACTGCAAGTTTCAATTTTAACCACTCAAGTGAAGTTCAAAATTGCAGAGCTCAGGTTCGTAACAAAATAAAAAATTCTGGAAAATCAAAAAGTTCTAGCTACCTGTGCCTCAGAAATTCAGATAAATCACAGAATATGAAGCTGCTCCAACGAAACATTAATGTTCCCCTAGCTTACTTTCACTTCACTTTCAGTAAATTTACTGTTACTTTTGATCTTTACTGATTCCTCCCTTTCCGAATGTTGCCCATTTTAAATCACATCAAATAGTAGTTTTTGTTTCTACAGATGCAAGCCCTAATTGGTGAGATGCGCTCGATATTCCGCGATGATCATGTCAACATCGAAGACATGGAGAAGACGTTGTTATCGTATAAGAGCGATCCGCAGGACTGGTCCCAATATGCTATATTTGATGAACGAAAGTAAGTAATGATGTTCAAAATAAGGTTATTTTATTGACAATTCAATGGCTGCTCACTTTAGTAGCCATGTAACTCTAAGCACTGTTTCTTTTTCCGCAGTCCACGCTGGTCACGTGGGCGGGAACAGTTAATTTTAGTACCTTCCTCACAATGGCGGCTTATATCGCCTTAGACGGGAAGCTCTCCAATGTACAATGTGGAAGGCACCATGGTGGATTGTTCCCACTTATGCGATAATGGTGGACTGTGGACTGTGTCTTTGAGTAGCTGTCCCTAAATTTCTGACTCTCCTTGCAATTCCTTTCTATTTTCTCGCTGCTTTTGAAAACTCCA